AATTTTTTTTTAAGTATAAATCTGTTTGAAATCTGACTATTATAATTATAAACGTTAATTAAAAAGTCATCTCTCCGTCCTCTCTATATATGTCCTCTCTATATATAAGTAATAAAATAATATAAAATATTAGTCTTTTTATAATAATATATGTAATTTACATTTATAATATATTTTATATATTATATGCATATGTCATCAATTGTGTATGTATATCTTTTGATATATGATATTATATATAATATATGTATGTGTAATAGGAGATTAAAATTACTAAAATTACACAACTGCATAACACATATTATACGCACTGCTTAGTTTAAATTAATTTCGCATCGAATCTTACAAAGCCTTGCTTGCATTTACATTATTTTCATCGCATTTCCGCAATATTCCTTTTATTATGTTAATTAAATTCTGGGGATATTAATCTCTTCCGTATTTACCGACGGGAACTTGGATATCGCGCAAAATCTGTTAACGGTTATTTATTTATGTTTATTGAATGAAATGTTTATGCGTTTAATTTCGCGGAGTATGACGCATTGATATACGATATTTTACGTTGTAATATATATCTCGTGTCACACAAAACTCCGAATTGTCACTATCTTTTGTGTTCATCGGCCAATCGTATGTAGATTATCAAAGAGCGAGCGGTCAGAACTGATTGGCGGGACGGAAATATGGCTGTTTTGCATCAACGTGCCCAACGTGAACAGACTTCCGGTCTTTTCTGAGATTCCGTAAAAATCTAAGATCAAAGAAATCTAGTGTTATCTTTCTTATTTTGAATTTTATCGAAGTGAACTTGTAGTAACGTAAGAAAAACTTTTTCTTACGTTACTACAAGTTCACTTCGAAGGTCATTTTGATTTTGATATGACGTTTCATTAAATAAAGTAATACAAACACGGTAACAGAGGAACGATTTCATCGATTTGTAATAAAATTCGACCAATTTTGCATCGTGAATATCTTTACGTAATTTCTCGCATTTCGTTTCGTTCGAATATTATTCTTATGATGAGACGGGGATCTGTAACTACGATGTGCTTGTATGCGATAGTTCTCGACGGGATAAGAAAGATATCGGAGAAACGCCAATGCAAAACGGGCGCGTTGCGGCATTTCTTCTGACATTCAAATGTTGGCCGCCGCCGACGAAAAAGGATACGTACGAATCCGACGCCGCCTATTCATCGCTCAAAAGGATCATTTATCAACATATTTGATATGCTCCCCACACCCTTCTTTCTAGACCGATACAGAGAAGAGTCGCGAAAGCGTGTTACTCTCTCTCTCTCTCTCTCTCTCTCTCTCTCTCTCTCTCTCTCTCTCTCTCTCTTTCTCTCTCGCGTGCGCACTTTCTGTTCGCTCTCGACTTCCATAGAAATAATATGCTAATCGCGCGAAGGCGGAGTTTAAAAAGTGCTCCGATAAATTCTCGAGACTTTTGACGTAATTTCGCCCCTTCTCACCGCAGCCGCAACGTCTTCCGAAAGATTCTTTTTGCGCGCGCTTTCCGGCGTCTTGAGAGAACTTTACCTTACCGCGTAACGTGCCCCGGTATACATATATCATCGGAGGGATATACTTCACCCCGTAAGATCCTCTTGGATCTCCGCATTGCGTCGCGTTTGGCGATTTTTTTCTCGATCAAAATATCTTACTAGCGAAAAGCTAAGTACGAAATAACAGACGTCTTTGCAATAAATACAGTTTAAAAAATGTCATTATGGATTTAACATCACACCATATTAATATGATAAATGCCATAAATTGATACAACATTAAGGATGGATTTAACATCAATACGCTGAGAATTATATAAACACATGGTAATAAATCATATATCTGTTTTTTACTAATCGGTTAACATCAACAACGATCTTATATTTTTGGAAAACCGTAATTAATTTTATGATAATGTAATTAAATTAAAAATGATAATAATTTATATTAAATTATTTTAAAATTAAGTTATGTCAAAAATACATATCCTTTTGGTTTTCAAATAACGAAATATCGCTTCCGAGGCATTTGTTTACAGTACATGGAGATTCTTCTTTCTGCAGCTAAAATTTCTCAAGAAAATATATTCGCGTAAGTTTGCTTTTTAACTTTGAAACGGAAGTATTCACGGAATAAGTAGAGAAATTGAGTTACATGCCTGATCGGCTAACAAAACCTCGTTGAAACTCCTCGAAACCTTACAGTTTTCTGCATGCGAGCGTGCTCGTGCGTGTCGGAACGGTGTGATTGACGCGCTAAGATCATTTACAAATCCCCTCATCGGTACTTATGCGCGCGATGACGCATACGCACATATTTATGCACCCCTGCCCCTTATACATGTGCGGCCTCATACATACATCGATCATATTAGCTGCAAATGCCTAAACGCCTTGATTCCGAGAAACGCTTTTATTTAAAAGCGATCGAATATGGAAAGAACTGTTTTATATGGTAGCTAAATACAGATCTGAAAATAATTGTAAACTATCAAAATAATTGTAATAATGTGGGATGCTTAAATTGATTACTAGAATATTA